GCGCTGTTATTCGGGATCGGGGCGCTGTTATTTGGGATCGGGGCGCTGTTATTCGGGATCAGGGCGCTGTTATTTGGGATCAAGGCGCTGTTATTCGGGATCGGGGCGCTGTTATTCGGGATCAGGGCGCTGTTATTTGGGATCGGGGCGCTGTTACTTGGGATCAGGGCGCTGTTATTTGGGATCGGGGCGCTGTTATTTGGGATCAGGGCGCTGTTATTTGGGATCGGGGCGCTGTTATTTGGGATCAGGGCGCTGTTATTTGGGATCGGGGCGCTGTTATTCGGGATCAGGGCGCTGTTATTTGGGATCGGGGCGCTGTTATTCGGGATCAGGGCGCTGTTATTTGGGATCGGGGCGCTGTTATTCGGGATCAGGGCGCTGTTATTTGGGATCGGGGCGCTGTTATTTGGGATCAGGGCGCTGTTATTTGGGATCAGGGCGCTGTTATTTGGGATCAGGGCGCTGTTATTCGGGATCAGGGCGCTGTTATTTGGGATCAGGGCGCTGTTATTCGGGATCAGGGCGCTGTTATTTGGGATCGGGGCGCTGTTATTTGGGATCAGAGCGCTGTTATTTGGGATCGGGGCGCTGTTATTTGGGATCAGGGCGCTGTTATTTGGGATCGGGGCGCTGTTATTCGGGATCAGGGCGCTGTTATTTGGGATCAGGGCGCTGTTATTTGGGATCAAGGCGCTGTTATTTGGGATCAGGGCGCTGTTATTTGGGATCAAGGCGCTGTTATTTGGGATCAGGGCGCTGTTATTCGGGATCAGGGCGCTGTTATTTGGGATCAGGGTGCTGTTATTCGGGATCGGGGCGCTGTTATTTGGGATCTGTTGCATTGGGGCGCTGTTATTTGGGATCAGGGCGCTGTTATTTGGGATCGGGGCGCTGTTATTTGGGATCAGGGCGCTGTTATTTGGGATCAGGGCGCTGTTCTTTGGGATCAGGGCGCTGTTATTTGGGATCGGGGCGCTGTTATTTGGGATCAGGGCGCTGTTATTCACTATTGGGTGCTGTTATTTGGGATCAGGGCGCTGTTATTCGGGATCAGGGCGCTGTTATTTGGGATCAGGGCGCTGTTATTCACTATTGGGTGCTGTTATTTGGGATCAGGGCGCTGTTATTTGGGATCAGGGCGCTGTTATTCGGGATCAGGGCGCTGTTATTTGGGATCAGGGCGCTGTTATTCGGGATCAGGGCGCTGTTATTTGGGATCAGGGCGCTGTTATTCGGGATCAGGGCGCTGTTATTTGGGATCGGGGCGCTGTTATTCGGGATCGGGGCGCTGTTATTTGGGATCAGGGCGCTGTTATTTGGGATCGGGGCGCTGTTATTTGGGATCAGGGCGCTGTTATTTGGGATCAGAGCGCTGTTATTTGGGATCAGGGCGCTGTTATTTGGGATCGGGGCGCTGTTATTCGGGATCGGGGCGCTGTTATTTGGGATCGGGGCGCTGTTATTTGGGATCGGGGCGCTGTTATTCGGGATCGGGGCGCTGTTATTCAGGATCGGGGCGCTGTTATTTGGGATCAGGGCGCTGTTATTTGGGATCAGGGCGCTGTTATTTGGGATCAAGGCGCTGTTATTTGGGATCGGGGCGCTGTTATTCGGGATCAGGGCGCTGTTATTCGGGATCAGGGCGCTGTTATTTGGGATCAAGGCGCTGTTATTTGGGATCAGGGCGCTGTTATTTGGGATCGGGGCGCTGTTATTTGGGATCGGGGCGCTGTTATTTGGGATCGGGGCGCTGTTATTCGGGATCGGGGCGCTGTTATTTGGGATCAGGGCGCTGTTATTTGGGATCGGGGCGCTGTTATTTGGGATCGGGGCGCTGTTATTTGGGATCGGGGCGCTGTTATTCGGGATCAGGGCGCTGTTATTTGGGATCGGGGCGCTGTTATTTGGGATCGGGGCGCTGTTATTTGGGATCAGGGCGCTGTTATTTGGGATCGGGGCGCTGTTATTTGGGATCAGGGCGCTGTTATTTGGGATCAGGGCGCTGTTATTCGGGATCAGGGCGCTGTTATTTGGGATCAGGGCGCTGTTATTTGGGATCGGGGCGCTGTTATTCGGGATCAGGGCGCTGTTATTTGGGATCAAAGCGCTGTTATTTGGGATCGGGGCGCTGTTATTCGGGATCAGGGCGCTGTTATATGGGATCAGGGCGCTGTTATTTGGGATCGGGGCGCTGTTATTTGGGATCGGGGCGCTGTTATTCGGGATCAGGGCGCTGTTATTTGGGATCAGGGCGCTGTTATTTGGGATCAAAGCGCTGTTATTTGGGATCGGGGCGCTGTTATTTGGGATCGGGGCGCTGTTATTTGGGATCGGGGCGCTGTTATTCGGGATCAGGGCGCTGTTATTTGGGATCAGGGCGCTGTTATTTGGGATCAAAGCGCTGTTATTTGGGATCAGGGCGCTGTTATTTGGGATCAGGGCGCTGTTATTCGGGATCGGGGCGCTGTTATTTGGGATCGGGGCGCTGTTATTCGGGATCAGGGCGCTGTTATTTGGGATCAGGGCGCTGTTATTTGGGATCAGGGCGCTGTTATTCGGGATCGGGGCGCTGTTATTTGGGATCGGGGCGCTGTTATTCGGGATCGGGGCGCTGTTATTTGGGATCAGGGCGCTGTTATTTGGGATCGGGGCGCTGTTATTTGGGATCAGGGCGCTGTTATTCGGGATCGGGGCGCTGTTATTTGGGATCAGGGCGCTGTTATTTGGGATCGGGGCGCTGTTATTTGGGATCAGGGCGCTGTTATTCGGGATCGGGGCGCTGTTATTGGGGATCAGGGCGCTGTTATTTGGGATCGGGGCGCTGTTATTTGGGATCAGGGCGCTGTTATTCGGGATCAGGGCGCTGTTATTTGGGATCAGGGCGCTGTTATTTGGGATCGGGGCGCTGTTATTTGGGATCAGGGCGCTGTTATTTGGGATCAGGGCGCTGTTATTTGGGATCAGGGCGCTGTTATTTGGGATCGGGGCGCTGTTATTTGGGATCAGGGCGCTGTTATTCGGGATCGGGGCGCTGTTATTTGGGATCAGGGCGCTGTTATTTGGGATCGGGGCGCTGTTATTTGGGATCAGGGCGCTGTTATTGGGGATCGGGGCGCTGTTATTTGGGATCAGGGCGCTGTTATTTGGGATCGGGGCGCTGTTATTCGGGATCGGGGCGCTGTTATTTGGGATCAGGGCGCTGTTATTCGGGATCGGGGCGCTGTTATTTGGGATCAGGGCGCTGTTATTGGGGATCAGGGCGCTGTTATTTGGGATCAGGGCGCTGTTATTTGGGATCGGGGCGCTGTTATTTGGGATCAGGGCGCTGTTATTGGGGATCAGGGCGCTGTTATTTGGGATCAGGGCGCTGTTATTTGGGATCGGGGCGCTGTTATTCGGGATCGGGGCGCTGTTATTTGGGATCAGGGCGCTGTTATTCGCTAATGGGTGCTGTTATTTGGGATCAGGGCGCTGTTATTTGGGATCAGGGCGCTGTTATTCGGGATCAGGGCGCTGTTATTTGGGATCGGGGCGCTGTTATTCGGGATCAGGGCGCTGTTATTTGGGATCAGGGCGCTGTTATTCGGGATCGGGGCGCTGTTATTTGGGATCAGGGCGCTGTTATTGGGGATCAGGGCGCTGTTATTTGGGATCAGGGCGCTGTTATTTGGGATCGGGGCGCTGTTATTTGGGATCGGGGCGCTGTTATTTGGGATCGGGGCGCTGTTATTTGGGATCAGGGCGCTGTTATTTGGGATCAGGGCGCTGTTATTTGGGATCGGGGCGCTGTTATTTGGGATCAGGGCGCTGTTATTTGGGATCAGGGCGCTGTTATTTGGGATCAGGGCGCTGTTATTTGGGATCGGGGCGCTGTTGTTCGGGATCAGGGCGCTGTTATTCGGGATCAGGGCGCTGTTATTCGGGATCAGGGCGCTGTTATTTGGGATTCGGGGCGCTGTTATTCGGGATCAGGGCGCTGTTATTTGGGATCGGGGCGCTGTTATTTGGGATCAGGGTGCTGTTATTTGGGATCAGGGCGCTGTTATTTGGGATCGGGGCGCTGTTATTTGGGATTCGGGGCGCTGTTATTCGGGATCAGGGCGTTGTTATTTGGGATCTGTTGCATTGGGGCGCTGTTATTTGGGATCAGGGCGCTGTTATTTGGGATCAGGGCGCTGTTATTTGGGATCAGGGCGCTGTTATTTGGGATCAGGGTGCTGTTATTCGGGATCAGGGCGCTGTTATTCGGGATCGGGGCGCTGTTATTCGGGATCAGGGCGCTGTTATTTGGGATCAGGGCGCTGTTATTCGGGATCAGGGCGCTGTTATTTGGGATCAGGGCGCTGTTATTTGGGATCGGGGTGCTGTTATTTGGGATCAGGGCGCTGTTATTTGGGATCGAGGCGCTGTTATTTGGGATCAGGGCGCTGTTATTTGGGATCAGGGCGCTGTTATTCGGGATCGGGGCGCTGTTATTCGGGATCAGGGCGCTGTTATTTGGGATCAGGGCGCTGTTATTTGGGATCGAGGCGCTGTTATTTGGGATCAGGGCGCTGTTATTTGGGATCAGGGCGCTGTTATTCGGGATCGGGGCGCTGTTATTCGGGATCAGGGCGCTGTTATTTACTATTGGGCGCTGTTATTTGGGATCAGGGCGCTGTTGTTCACTATTGGGCGCTGTTATTCGGGATCGGGACGCTGTTATTCACTATTGGGCGCTGTTATTTGGGATCTGTTGCATTGGGGCGCTGTTTTTTGGGATCAGGGCGCTGTTATTTGGGATCAGGGCGCTGTTGTTCACTATTGGGCGCTGTTATTTGGGATCTGTTGCATTGGGGCGCTGTTATTCACTATTGGGCGCTGTTATTTGGGATCAGGGCGCTGTTATTTGGGATCTGTTGCATTGGGGCGCTGTTATTCACTATTGGGTGCTGTTATTGGGGATTGGGGGCTCGGTGGGGTTGGGGTCGCTGTGACGGCTTCCCTGGGCGCCGCAGGTGGCGGCGCAGCAGCAGGAATCGGCCACGACGCAGAAGGCGGAGCGCGAGGTGTCGCGCATGGTGGTGGTGATGGTGGGCTCCTTCTGCGTGTGCTACGTGCCCTACGCCGCCCTGGCCATGTACATGGTCAACAACCGCGACCACGGCCTCGACCTGCGCCTCGTCACCATCCCCGCCTTCTTCTCCAAGAGCGCCTGCGTCTACAACCCCATCATCTACTGCTTCATGAACAAGCAGGTGGGCAGCAGGCTGGGGGGGGGGGGGCAGATGGGATGGGGACAGATGGGGGGAGACAGATGAGGGTGAGAGATGGGATGAGGACAGATGGGGGGGGAAAGATGGGGGGACAGATGGGATGGGGACAGATGGGGGTGAGAGATGGGATGAGGACAGATGGGATGGGGACAGATGGGGGTGAGAGATGGGATGAGGACAGATGGGGGGGACAGATGGGATGGGGACAGATGGGATGGGGAGAGATGGGGGGGGACACCAGGATGGGGGGGACAGATGGGGGGGGACAGATGGGATGGGGACAGATGGGGGGGGACACCAGAATGGGGGGGGGACAGATGGGGGGGGACAGATGGGGGACAGATGGGATGGGGACAGATGGGGGTGGGAGATGGGATGGGGACAGATGGGGGGGGACACCAGGATGGGGGGGGACAGGTGGGATGGGGACAGATCGGGGGGGACAGATGGGGGTGAGAGATGGGATGGGGACAGATGGGGGGACAGATGGGATGGGGACAGATGGGGATGGGGAGAGATGGGGGGGAACACCAGGATGGGGGGGACAGATGGGGGGGACAGATGGGATGGGGACAAATGGGGGTGAGAGATGGGATGGGGACAGATGGGGGGGGGACAGATGGGGGGACAGATGGGATGGGGACAAATGGGATGGGGACAGATGGGGGGGACACCAGGATGGGGGGGGACAGATGGGGGGGACAGATGGGATGGGGACAGATGGGGGGAGAAAGATGGGGGGGGACAGATGGGGGGGACAGATGGGGGGGGACAGATGGGATGGGGACAGATGGGGGGGGACACCAGGATGGGGGGGGACAGATGGGATGGGGACAGATGGGGGAACAGATGGGATGGGGACAGATGGGATGGGGACAGATGGGGGGGGACACCAGGATGGGGGGGACAGA